TCCTAGAAAATCATCAGGGCCAGAGAAAAAGCGGACACAGAGGAGACTGGATGCAGAGAGGGCCTGGCCAGGGAGGCAGGAGGAGAGGGGATGGTGGTCAAGAGAGACAAATTCCAAAGAGGTAATGTAAGGGTGGAAAGAGGCCCTGCTTATGATCACTAAGAGGTCACGGTGACCTTCACACAAGCAGCTGTGGTAGGGTGAAGCTACATTCCACAGGCTGGGAAGACACGAGGAGATGAAGCCAAGAAACTTGGCTGTGAGGAGAGAGAGAGAGAGAGAGAAACCTGCTGTAGGGTTTTCAAGAGGAGATTTTCGTGTGAAGGGAAGGAGCCAAGGCAGGGTGAAGTGGTCAGAAGGAGAAGCAGTCACTGATAGGGAGGGTCCCTGAGAAGATGTCCCGTAGCCCAGGACATGATGTGGCAGGAGTTAGACCTTGTGAGGACAAGAGAAGCCACAGCTCTCTATGCCCCGGGTGGAGGGAGTGAGGACAAAGGCAGATGAACTTGTTTATGGGTAGACTGAACAAACAACGAGATGGATCTGGGTACACATCACTGGTTCCCAGTCTCTCTAGAAGGGAAGGGAGGCCAAATGCTATAAGAAGGAGGTGAGGTGATTGGAGAAGGGCGGGGATTTGATGAGGGACAAGGTGTAGGCTGCTGTAGGCTGGCTGAGGGGCACAGAGATGGGCACCCGAGGTCTAGGGTGCAGCCTCCTGTGAGTAGCTGCAGTGAAGCTGCCCCCCTCTCCTGTTGCCTCGCCATGGACATGCCTGGCAGATCCCCAGCCCATGGTCAGAAACGCACGAAGCTTCTCCAGTTCTGGTCACAGGGCTCCTGCATAAGCCACATTCTCTCATTCCCCTCTGGGTGGAATGTTGTTTGCCTGGAATGTTGGTTTTGTTGTGCTTTTTTTTTATACTTTCAGTGTCACCTCGCTCATCTTTGATCACCCATGTCAAATGCCAACTTCCCACAAGACCATCTCATGCTCTTGCCTCGAAGGAGGGTATTAGTATTATCCTATTTCACAGACGAGAAAAGTGAGATACAGAGAAGTTAGGTAATTTGTCTGAGATCCATGGTGCTACTTGGTAGGATTTGAACCCAGGTCTGTCTGAAGCCAAAGCCTATAGCCTTTCCCTCTCCTCTAAATACCTCCAATTAGGGAAAGTAGTTTAAAAATTTCCAGTGAAATACTCATGCAAACATGTGGTGTGGGTTTACAGAAAAAGTGCAATCAGGGGATCAGGTTAAGCAGAAACAGGAAGACCTGGATCAGCCTACCAAGCATTCCCTAGAGCTTTTTCACTCAAATCATCACAACCACTCTGGTGTCTGTAGGCTTTTACCTGTGACCTGTCCAAGCCCACACAATGAGGTTAGGCGGAAAGTCAGTGCTCAAACTCAGGACTTCCACCTTAAGTCCAGGGTTCGTTCCACCAAGGGAAAACAATGTCCAGGAACAGAGAAAACCTTCCTCTGCCTCCTTCCACTTGGATGCACATCCCCTTGGCAGCACAGACAAAGGCTGGGAGTGCTCTCCGCTCTTACTGGCAGGAGGTGCAGATATGGGGTGGGGGTGGTGTGTGTGTGTGTGTGTGTGTGATTCACCTTGCGGTACCCTTCCCTGCTCCTTGACCAGGAGGAGGCAGCCTAGCATTTGCAGCTCCCACATCCCTACTCTGTAGTGACTGGCTCAGTTACATTCTGAGCAAGGAAGGGACAATCAAGAGAGCCTTTAGGTATGGGAAAGGCACCACGCCTCCCAACACCCGGCCCTGTGCTTTCCCTTCTCATACTCCAAGAAGAAGAAAAGTCAGTGTGTATAGCCCCTCTGCACTCACCTGTTCAAGAAGGCATTGCCAAAGGCGTTGAGTTTCCGGAAGGGTTTCTTAGGATCCACCACCAGAGCGTTCCCAGGGATGACCCCCTCCACCTCACCCTGCATCACTGCAATGAAGGAGTCGGTGGTCGGCTCGGGCCCAATCCTCATGCCTGGAAAATCCTGTTCCAGAAGGTACCTGGCAGAGGGAGCACAGTCATAAAGCAGGGATGCTGCTGGTAGATCAACACTGAGCATCTACCACAAGGCAGGACGGAAGGGCAAGGTCCATAGCCACGAGATTTCTCGGCAGGGAGAGATGACTGCTGGGCAGGGTTTCAAAGACGTGGTGGAGGAGGTGGGATTACAACTGAACTTAAAATACCAAATCTGTTCTTCTCGGTTCTTATCTTTTCCTCTCCCTGAGTCAGTAGGGGAAAAAAATGCAAGGTTTGGGCTCGGGGCTGGAGCATGGGTGGGCAGTGATTGCTGCACAGAGCATGGCAGACTTTACAACTGAAGGTAACCTGCTGGCGGATCTGCATAAAGACTTGGTTAGAATTAGAGCATCCATGGACTCTGCCAGCTTTCCACAGGTCATTATTTATTTATCTGGTTGGTCAGTCCTTTCATAGAAAACTAGCTCATACATGAGACAAAAATACAGCCAGTGTGCCTGACCGGCGTGGCTCAGCGGTTGAGCATCGAACTATGAACCAGGAGGTCGCTGTTCAATTCCTGGTTCAGGGCACATGCCCATGTTGCGGGCTCGATCCCCGGCGGGGGGCGGGGGGGGGGGCAGGGCGTGCAGGAGGCAGCTGATCAATGACTCTCTCTCATCATTGATGCTTCTATCTCTCCCTCTCCTTTCCTCTCTGAAATCAGTAAAAATAAAAAAATGCAGCCAGTGTGACAGCTACATTATGAAAAGTGGGTCTCCATTCCCTCAGGACTTTTGGTCCATTCTCTAGGTGCCAGGCCCCTTCCTTCACTCTTCTCCTGGCCAGAGCAGTGACAGCCCAAGGTCATGCCCCTCTAAACAGCCCCCTTTAGAAGTCAAAAGCAAAGGCACATGATGAGCCAGAGAACGAAGAGAACAGCTCCTAAAGACAACTGAGTCCTTTAGAAGAAGCTCAGAACAGCTTTGGGCCCAAATAGCATGAGGCTGGATTCAGGGGAGGAGTCCAGAACTGCCTCCGGTTGGGACTGACCAGAGGAGAGTCCCAGGGGCATCTTCCAAGACCATGATGGACGAGGAGCTCAGGGTGTACTGACCAACAAACACAGACTCTGGGGGAGCCTTCACTGTGCTGAGAACCTCCTGAACTTCGAGGGCCCCCAGGAGAAGAGAGGTAGAATCAGAGACTGTTAGTTGGGAGGGGAACATGGAGACCTCCTGGACCAGTGGTCCTCACCCCAGCTTCACAGCTGAGCTACCTCGGAGCTCTAGCTAAGGTGCCTGGTCCCCACCCCCGGAGGTTCTGACCCATTCACTCAGAGTTGGGGCCTAGCCACGGGTGCTTTTTAGGAGCTCCCCAGGTGACCCAAATGTGCAGCTGGGGTCGACAGCACTCCCATTTTACTAATAAGACCACTGACACTCCATAGCATTTCCACATGCCAGGCATCACACCAATCATTTTGGGAACATTATCTCCTTTGGGTCTCACAGCAGCCCTCTAGGTAGGTATTGAAGAAATGGAGGGCTGAGAAGGTATGTGACTTTCTCCAAGTTAAATAGCTAATAGTAAGAGCTGAAACCCAGACCGATATCAATCTAACACCAAATCCTTTGCTCTTCGAACGCCTTCCACCCTGAGGAAGTCACTGCAGAGAGAGCTGATCCAGGTCCCACCGAAGGTCAGGCAGAGCTGGGACCAGAGGCCAAGTCTCCAGGGACCAAGTGCTCTGCCCATCCCATGCCTCCCCTAGGTAGGCCTGCAGCAGTGGTCCTGCTCTGCTCACAGGGTGGTGGCCAGGGAGACGCGCTGGGGTTATTTCCAGCTCATGGGTCTCCTGCCGGTGCCTCCGAGAAGGGTTCGGAGCTGTTCCATGACTCTGTGGTTCAGGCAGTTTAAGTCGGTTGCTATGGGTCCTCCCCAGGGAGCCAGCAGAGAAGCTGGTGCCCAGAAGGCTCCCCTTCCAGCCGCTGCCGGCACACACCGGAGGGTTTAGGTGGCCTGGGGAAGCCCTTTGTCTCCCTCCAGCATCCCAGCCTGACAATCTGGGTGTGAAGCAGGATTTCCTCCATTAGAGGACCATTGTGAAATCTGGCACTGCGGCTATGAATGAGGAGACTTCCAACAGCTGCACACTGGGCGAGAGCTTCCTGCTTTCTCAGTGTGCCTCCTCCTCCAGGCCCTCAAGGGAGAGGCAGGGAATCTTGAACCAGGAGAGACGTGCCTTTCAGAAGGCACGGGGCCTCTATGAACCTCAGTACCGCCCTCTATAACACGGGAGGTAATAGTTCCAATGTATCAAGCACCTGTGATGTGCCAAGCACTGTTCTAGATTTTCTATGGATTATCTCATTTCATCTTTATATCTACTCTGAGGTGAGTACTATGACCCTCATGGTCAAATAGGCCTAATAAGAAAGCCCACCTCATAGGGTGTTCTGAGGGTTAAACTAGTTACAGTCCTTCCACACTTAACCCAGTGCCTGGCACCCAGATTTATCATTCCATTTTAAAGAGTGGGAGACAGAGGTTAGACAATTTGCCTCAGGTCATGCCATCGGTAAATAGCTGAGCTCGGATTTGAACCTGTCACTTGGATTTGAGAATTTATGTTCCCAACCACTACTGTTACTATCTCCTTTCCTGCCGTAGGTCTCCTCTTGACCAGGAAATGCAAAAAGGCTGAGCCCCACATGGGACTAGAATGAGGAAGGGGACAAGAAGGCCACGAAGGAATCAAGAAGGCCACGAAGGTGTGTGTGTCTCCTGCAGGCTGTCCAGGGCCCAGGCCATGGGAGAAAGGTAGGCTCTGGGTCCCACAAACCCAGCAATGTACTCACCTCCATACACGCCTGCCCTAGGGGTTCTCAGCGAGGCCTCAATGAGTGACGCATGGCATGCAAAAGCTGTTGCTATCAAGTGACCAGAGCAGGCCCCAGGCCCACTGGCTCTCCAAGGACATTCTTGGGACTTAAAAATAGTAAAGCCAGATTTCCCTGGGAAGGCGTTTCATGAGAACCAACACCATGCCAGGGGAACCCCATCCATTCTGTCTGTGTGCCAGGAGCCCCTGCCCCGTGAGCACGTGGGTGAGAAGCCCTAAGCGGAGCCCAGTAGTGGGGTGGCAAGTGTGAGTTCTGAGGCAGGAGGGGCTGGTGGGTGACCAAAGGCTTGAGGGAAAGCTGACATAGACAGAAGTGGGAAGAAGCATTTCTGAGGCAGCTTTGAGAACACTCAGACTGAACAGGGCCAAATGGCAGTGATGGAGTATCCTGCTGACCCAGGCGGCTCAGATTCCATCCCTGAGAGACGTGCTGTGAGATCAGATGATCAAAGGGTGACTTCCTAGCATGACAGGGCCACTTCCCGGGATGAGCCGGAGCCCCAGCCTGAGTCTGTCTGAGCAAAAGACAGGAGGCTGGGCCGGCTGTCCTGCCCTTGTGGCTAAACCCACATGAGCCCAAACTTGCTGACCACACAAGGGCCTGGAGGAACATAGAGTCCAGAAAAGTCACCAGCACATCCAGGGACACAGTGGGGCCGGGCAGAGAACCGGAACTGGGTAAATTCTCAGGAACATTTGGGTATGGCTTGCAGCACCGAGTGCCCCCTTCACAAAGCCTCCACTGTGTCCGGAAAGGACAACCTATTGAGGGATCTCATCACTGCTGCTCTGTGGGAAGTGATACAAATCGCCTCTGTTGCCAGGCGCAACCATTCCCACGGCAGCAGACACAAAGCCAAGTGAATTCAAGCCTGGGTGGGAACGGCTGAGACCAGGACGTGCAAGGGTAAGGAGGGGCTGCTGAGTGGCAGGTGCTGTTCTGGGACCTTTACCCAAATTATTCCACTGACTCGATCCTACAAGCACGGTGGGATGGCAGCATTATTTCAGTTTTGCAGTGGAGTCAATTGAGATATAGGTTGCCCAAGTTCATGGCCAAATGAAAATATTTAGCAATGGTAAGAGCTACGATGTTGGTGCGCTGTGCCCTCCCCCAACCCTTCCATGCCATCCCCCGGCATCAAATGAAAAACAAGTAAATACTAAAACCATAAAATAGGTGTATGGAAGTCCTACACAAGGCTGATTTTTTTCTATGAGAACCACTTTTCTGTACGTTTTGATTCAGTAAATTATTTCATGGCATTTTCCTCATTTGTGTGTGTGTGTGTGTGTGTGTGTGTGTGTCTCCTGCTGGGATGGCACTCTAAGCATGCGGTCTGCTTTAGTGGTGACCTAAGCACCCAGGGAGAGGCGTGGAGCCAAGACTCTTAACGCAGTCTGCGTCCAAAGTACCCCTCTCCAGAGCAGTGGGCCGGACCTCGGCTGGGCTGCCGCTGGGCCAGCACCAGGGAGGGAACAGAGGGGCGGGCTCCGCACACATGCTGCCGTGGGCTGGGCCCTCTGCCTGGGCTCAGCCCAGAAGGCACCTTCCTGGGTGGCTCCTCCATCACAGATAGGACCTTGGACACATCACCCAACAGCCCAGTGGCTCAGTGTCCCTGGTTTATAAAAAAGGGGATAATCCTTGGTTTCTAACTAGCCAAAGGGACGGCTTAGAGGTTTTGATATGACACCCATGAGTTTGAGAAAAACAAAGGCTACCCCAGACATTTGCTCACATTGGAAGAAACAATAATTAGAGGAAACAAACACCTCATTGTTGCCTGTAATACTCAGTGCATTTCCAGAGTCTCCAAATCCGGTCCCGATGCCGCCTCAGTGAGGCCTTAACTGATTGATGCCGTCATCCCAACCCTGACTTACACTCTTCCCCGAAAATCACATAGCTGTTAATTTGCATATCTTTAGTAGACTCTGAAGGCACATATCACTTTCTGCCTTGTACCATGGGTGTTCGTGTTATAGATCTGAATCTTTGGTCTATCTGACCTATGGGCACAGACAATAGGGTGGTGAAGGCCTGGGATGGGGTGGGAACCAGGTGGAAGGGGCAATGGGAGGAGAAAGGGGGAACATCTATAATACTCTCAAACATTTTAAAGATTTTTTAAAAAATTAAAACGAAAAATAAAATTAAACGGAGTCCCAACAATCATACTTGCCCTGTCAGCCTCAGGGGTTTTAGGGAGACTATAAAGCACCCCAGAGACACAAAATGAGGGAGTAGGTGGGGGAGACCCCTGATGGTGCAGTTGAGGTCTGAGTCAGCTCTGTGCTCCTCAGAGCAGAGCAGCCACCACTGTCCCTGGGGAACAGCAGCCTTTGCCAGTGGATGAGGTGACCCCAGCACAGACAGGTGGCCACACTGCCAAGCCCCCTGCTCCCCTCCCCTTGCCCACCCTCTCCCCAGCACTGTGGCTCAGGCCCCTCTTCCAACTCTTCCTGCACCCCACCTTCCGCCCCCTCACCTGGCTGTGGGAGGGGCCAACAAGGGCTTCCCCAACCTCCTGAGGGCCAGCCTCTAAGACTCTGGTTAGAGAATCTGCTAGAAAGAGGAGAGGGAATGATAAAGCCCCAAGCAGAGTGCCTGCAAAGGAACGAGCTACATTGGTCCTTTCCCCCTTCTAACCCCGAGCAACCCTCGGAGGCAGCCGTAACGATTCACACGATAGAGGTGAGGAAACAGGAGGGATAGATCTTGCTAACAAGGCCTCTTGTTGGTGTCCGCTGGAGCCCAGGTTCTGCTGAGCAGGCCGTGTTCTATCCATGGTCTGGCCTCATTGCCAATGCTGACGGGGTGGAGCCCCTTCTCCAGGGTCCTCCTCCTCCCAGGCAGCGCTCCTCCTGATGCCGTCCACACACCTAACTTCCAAGATGGATCTTAAACGACCTGGGGCAGGCGGACCCTGCCTCACTTAGGGCCCAGCAGATCCGAGCCCTGACAGGAAAAGGATGTCCACTGAGCTCAGGGTGGACAGGACAGAGGTGTTGCAGGGACTGTGCCTGGTGGGATAGACCTGGCAGAGATCAGTGGGCCTGCCTGGAAGGGGGTGGGATGGTGATGCTGTAATGTACGGGGTGAGGCCTAGGCGGTGGGGATGGAGCAGCCACAGGTAAAGGCTTAGTCACTTTTGAGGAGGATTCAAACATCCCCCTGAAGAAGTGGGAGAGGTTGAAAGGGTCGGCTAGTAGCAGCTCCCACTGTATGCTCATACTTCAGAGTCCAAGTCATGCTGTAGAAGGGCCACCTGAGCCTTGAGATCAGCCCAGACCTCCCTGTGCAGACACCGGCAGCTTGGCTCTGGGAGCCCTAGGCCTGACCCCCGACCCCCAATCCTCTATTTGGCCTCCCTTATGGCCCCTGAGAGCGCTGGGCTTTCCGCAGCCCTAGGACCAGCCGGCTAGTCACCTCTGTGACCAGGGGGCCAGATGGGGCAAGGGAGGAGGGATTCGAGGCTGCCTGCCAGGGGAAGGAAGAGCGAAGGGAGAAAAACAGCAGAGGCAGGGAAAGGCTGCCAGGCCCGAGGGACACAGAGCTACTGTACTCCGAGCAGGCAGCCTGTGTTGGAGGGAGCAGCCACCAGGCCAATTTATTGTTTATTTTATTACTCTGGGTTGCCGGGCCGTAGGCCAGAGAAGTTATTTCAGGCAGAGATCATAGCCCATTAATTAGTTGTTAGAAGAATGCCCTTTTCTGCGTGTTCTTCCTGAGAAAAGAAATAAACCCTGCGGCAAGTACATATAACTGAAAGTGGGTGGGCACTCCAGCGGCGAAGGCCCGGGGCTGGGAATGAAGAGGCAAGTCTCTATTCTGGAGAGAAAGGTCCCTCACAGCTCAGCCTGGGACGGAGGGGAGAAGCGTGGTGTCCAAGGCAGGAAGCAGGGATGGGGAGGACGGAGAGGCCAGGGCACCCTAAGAATCTACACCCCGTGCACCTTCCTACCCCAGTGCAGCCTGGGAGAGGGGTGCTGTACCAACTTACCCTCTTGGAGAGCAATTCAGCAATAGGACTCTGAATAGCAAAATTGAAAGTAAAAGAATAAGTAAATAAAATAAATAAACAGAAACAACGCTGCACAACCTTTGGCCTAGTGACTTCGCTTCTGGGAATCTCTGAGGAAACAGTCAGTGTGTGGAAAAATATTACCCACAACGATATTCAGAGTGATACTGCAATAGCAGAAAAATCAGAAATATCCGAAGACATTCAAAAGAAGTAGACTGGAGCCGTGAATAATTGCATACACATACAGCGAAATAGCACGAGGCTCTCAAAAAGAATGCTTACAAAGATTTTTAAACCTACACGAGAAATGCTCGTGCTGTAAGCAAAACAAATCAGAATACAAAATTACATTATGAATGATCTTAACCGTGTGATAAGATAGCTAACCACACTGGAAATATGTATATTTATATACATGTGAATGATATCTAAAATGGTTTCCCTGGAGTTCTGGGATTAGGGGTGATCTTTCTTCTTCTTCCGTACATCCTTCTCTGCATTTTCCAATTTAAAGAAAATAACTGTTCCGTGGATTTAATGACAAGGAAGGAAAAGATGCAATTTGGTTTGGGAGGGCGTCCCTGTGCTGTAAGCCCTCCTTCCTGCCTGGCTGGCCCACTCTCCCCCAAGGGGAGGCGGCTTTTGATGCATGAGCTAAATTCAGTTACTGACATGAGTGGGGAGAGAGAACTCTTGTACTTGGAGGATAAGAAAGTGGAGGGATCTGCCCCTCCCGGCCTTCCTGTTTCCCTCAGATAATGAATAATCTATGGTAGCTCGACCCTGCCACTTTCTTAGACCCAGTTAACAGCCAGCATGACTCAGGCGAAACCAGGAGAGTCTCAGACAGAGGCCCTTAAACCTGTCTGATGCTTAGAGATCCAGCACCCTAGGGACACCTGCCTTTCCCCACTTTCCCTCCCATTCTGCAAACATATACGGGGAACCTCCCGTGGCTGAGACCCCAGGCGAGGCCCCAGGAGCTAAGGCACGGTTGTGTGTGCTGCCTTTATGGAAAAGAGAAGCTCTAAAGAACCAAGGTGTGTCCAGAGGGCCAGAGAAGGCTCTGCAAAGGCAGGAGCCCTCTGTTAACGGCCAGGACTTCCCGTGGGGGCATAATACAGGCCAGAGAAAGGACACAGGTTAAAAGGAATCGTGCACAGAACCCAGGTACCTCTCGAGTGTATTTGGCAGCAATGGGTATGTAATAAAGTAAAGGAGATGGGTTAGATCAGAGCCCTCGCCCTGAAGTCCACGGTGGTCCTCGGGCCCACAAGATTATGTATACATTTGTGATGTATGCGTATTTTTTTCTAAAGATAAGTCCAGCTTTCATCAGATTTTCAAAGAAGGAACTAACTTCTAAAAAGTTAAGAAGCAATGGGTTCAATTCATAACGAAGGGTCCTTGTAGTTCCAACAATATAAGATCCAAAAGCCAACCAGCCCACCCACCTCTCCCCGTCCCCGACCTGGGTACCAAACTTGTTCAGAAATCACTCAGTCTCTCCAAGCTGCTGGGCCCAAGGCTATCCGCCTACCCAAGGGCAAACTTGATCTGGTGGTCTATTCAGACACAACATGTTAGCGTGGGGCATGCGCAGCTTGCAGAAAGCGTGTGTTATGGAAGTTTACCGTTAAGAGAACATTTGTATCTGGAGAATCAGTAACCAGACTGTTCCCGTTGCTGCTTTTCTTGCCAATCAAAGACTAGAGCTGAGTGTTGCAGGTGCTCCGTCAAGGAATGGAAACAAGAGCACCCGCTTTAAACCCGGCAGAGATGAGCACCACTGACTTTCGGAGGCCACGGGACCCATCGCTACGCTGTAGGAGCCTGCCTCTCAACACAGAGGACCAGAAGCACCAAGAGCTTGGCCAGGGCTGTAGATGAGGCCAAGGAAAATGGCTGGCCTTGAAGGATGTGGGGCCTGCGGACTGGAGAGAAGCCTGTTGTCTAAAGATAAGAAGGATTCGCATCCCTCTAGTGGCCCATATGCGGACCTCTCTGAATGCAAGGTGGACACGTTGACTTCTGGCGGATCTCTCCAGCCCAAGGACTCAGTAATTCAAGAGAATGGATGACTCACCCTCAAAGCCACAGGCATTTGGCCAAGCATCTCCTTCCATGGGTCCAGGACTAGCATCCCACCTTGGCCTCCCCCCAGGGAGATGCCTCTGGACGGTGCATCTAACCTCTCCATGACTCAGTTACCTCACCCACTAAGCTGGATGAGACAATCGTCAATATCCCTTCTCCTCTAAAAGACTTTAATATTATTACCGAGCCATTAAGACCAAACAAGGGAAAAGATTTTCAATCACAACATGCTCTTTCTGGATATACTGCTTCTGTCCAGTCTCCAAGAGATACATGTCGGAGCTCTGCTCCGCGAAGGAAAATGATAAAAGGACAAGCAGTGCTACCAGGCAGGGGAGCCACAGGGTCCCCAGCCCACCTCTTCAGCTGTAACTGTAAAGCCCCTACGTGAATGGCTGAAGCCTTTAAAAGGCAAGGGAAATGGAAGTGGCCATGAAGGGCATGTCCCTAAAAAGTGAGGGTGTAAGATAATCCCACACGGGACTCTTGGGATAAGGGATTTCTCACTCGTGCCTCCTGGGCCTTGGTTTCACCATCCATAAAATGGGAGGAACAAGATGGCTCTGGTTTTTAACATTTCAAACAGACCACTTGAGCCAAGGCTCTAAGTACAGTGGAGAGGCATGAGGTAGGATGGGGTGGGGGACCAGCAGTGAAATGGTGGAGTAGGCTTTGGACACATGTGCATGCAAAGATTTCTTCCAAGGCCTGGGAGAGAAGACAGTGCCCAGCCTGGAGGAGGCACCAGGAGTGAATGGAAGGCATAGGCGCTGGGGGCAGGGTGGGGCTGCCGGGCGTGGGGGGTGGGGGGTCCTGGGCTGGCTCACCTGATGAAAGTGGTCTTCCCAGTGGAGTACTGGCCCACCAGTAAGACCATGGGCTTGTTGTCAAAATCGGCATCCTCCAGGGCGGGCGAGTGAAACTCGTGGAAGCGGTAATGCTCTTCCAGGGGCAGCAGCTTGCTCTTGTAGAGTTTCTTGAGCCCCTCGCTCACCGTCTGGAAGACCTCGGGGTCCTTCCTCCGGCGGTCGTCGGTACCCAGCCAGCTGAACATCGCGGCGGCTGCTCGCCCCTTGCGCGCAGCCCAGGGGGAGGGCGC